ATTCTAGGTGATTTCAATGCGTCCACTGTCAACTGGGCACACCAATCATGTCGCGGAACTGGGTTCGATATGGCTCTGCTCAACACCGTATCCGGTCTAACTCGACGCAGCTAAAAAAAACTAAAAGATATCGAACAATGTGCCAAGCGGGTTATTTTCTGGAGGCGGTTCTCTATGTCTGACACTTTAGAAAGCATAAGTAAGCATATATGCAGCCTTCTACAACCGCATAAATTCAAACCCCTTAGCTGTACCTGGCTACCCGCCAAAGGTTCGCCCAGACGTCTCGGCCTTCTTGTCAACATGGGTTCTTCCAAGCTTGCCAATGATGTTCTCATTGAAGCTCCCACCTTTAAACGCTCCTGGTTAGGTTTAAGAGGTGTTTTCATAGATAAACCGCTGCATATGAGACTTTCACAGCCCAAGCTGAAAGGTCCATAAGTTGATCCTAGAGACGCCGAACTGTTGGGAAGCGCCTTCATTTCAGTAGTTCGGTTGGACTCAAAGGTTCTTAAGTCTCAACCCTCTTCCCCAGACCCCAGACCCTTAGATGAGACATTCGTCTGCCTTAAACCAATGGCGGCCAGTTCAGCAAACAGTAGTTTTATTTAACAGAAGCAAACTTCAATCAAGGCCTCTAGGAATAAGAAGCAAAAGAAGCTGAAAAGTAAAAACACAGACTAAACCCAGTCCGGTCCGTAAGCTAGCCCCACCTAAAACTAGAAGGAAGCTCCTCAGGGACCCTCCCAGTCGCAATCAGGTGCGTCTGAACACGCTGCGAAAGCTGACGGAGACCGATAAAGGACCAACGCTTCACCCAGTGAATGGTTGTTTCTGCGGTGTACCATCCCAGCTCGATAACGGCAACAACAGAGCAATTTTTCGGACGAAGGGTGCGACAGGTCGTCCGTCAGAGAGACTGGTAAAGAAAGCCCACCGATGGTGAGGTACCTTCCCAAGATAGCCCCCGACCAACGTACGCTCAAACCGTACGTCGACCACCTCTAATGTCACTTCCGACTGCTCCTCCGGTCTCGCCTTTCTTCTTAACGGACTCAAGGACTTTGATGGACGCATACTTAAATGCACTTCTAGCAACTGTCTTAGCCTCTCAAAGAAAGTTCTTGAACTAAAGCAACTTACCTCAGAGTAACGCCCCCATTTCATCACCCTCACCGAGACCTGGCTTTACGATAATGTCCTAGACGCGGAAATCTCCATTACCGGCTTTACATTGTTAAGATCAGACTCAGCTCGGGGCAGAGCAGGTGGTGTCATAGCTTACTTTAGTTGCACCCTCCCTCCTCCCTTTCTTATTTCAGTCGACCCAATAGGCCGATAGATACTTTATGGGTTAAACTCAAACTCTCAAGGTTAGCCACACTCCTACTTAGAGTCGTATATCGTCCTCCCCAGAGTTCTCCCATCGAAAGCCGACTACTCATTGACCAATTAAAGTCAATAAGTAGCACTCATCTTTTCACCCACCGTCTAATTGCTGGTGATTTTAATGCCCCGGGTCTTGACTGGCTCAGAGCATACTTTTTTGACATTTCTTTTGGGCGTCCACTTATTGATCTAGTACTAGAAAACTTCTGGACTCAACATCTGAACCAACCTACGAGGTTCCGCCCAGGTCAGGCTCCTTCATTGCTAGATCTTATTATAACGAATGACGACAATCAGGTCGACGTGGTAGATCACCTTCCACCTCTCGGAAAGAGTGGCCACGTAGTTCTGCTGTTTGACTGCATTATAGACTGGAAAACTAGAATGGAATTTCCACAAATGGTCAGATCGTTCAAACGTACCAACTTCGGCTTCTTACGAGAGTTTCTTAGGGCACAGTTTCACGACCTTTCCCTAGACCTGCCCGTAGAGAATCTTACAGAATATATCGCACAAATCGTCACTTCAGCTGACGAGCGGTTCGTCCCCCGTGTTCTCGCACGCCTTACTTCTGATGCACCTCTCCCTCGGCCCATCCGCAGGCTTTTAGACGAGCGGTTTAGACTTTTTGGATAATGCAAGCGGACGGGACTTGAAGCTGATGGACTAGCCTTTAAAGGGCTCAGGAACATCTGCCGCTCCTATATTTGAGAGTACAAACTGCGTACTCAAAGAGCTATACTTGAACGGGCTCAGAAGAACAGACCGTTCATTTATAAGCATATCCGTCGACTGCGCGGTACAGCTAACCCCTCTCTTGTTCTCAAGTTACCAGACGGGACAGAAGTAATTGCCCTTTCACTGATTGCGGATAAGTTTAAAAAGCACTTCCAGATCATCTTCAGTTCCGCTTCCATCACTACCCACCCGATACTACAACCCTTTCCACTACACTTGACGCTTAGCCGCGTCACCTTTTCACGGTCAGACGTAGAGGAAAAACTACGGAACCTCAACCCTTACCGCTCTATGGGGCCTGACAAAGTGCACCCTAGAACTCCTAAGGAATCGGCGGATATCTCAGCTGACCCATACTCCCGATTCATCCAACGGTGTATGGATGACGGAAAATTCCCTTCTCGATGCAAAGCCGCAGCTTTGTTCCACAACTACACCGAATATGGCTACAATGTCACTCCAGTTATCCAGAAATGCTTGCAACAATTCACTCGTGATGCGTCCACCGGGTGAGATGTAGCTGCCCAAATAACAAAACTTAGCCACCTGCTC